GATTTCCATTCAACAAAAACATAAAGTTCCCATAACAAATATGGTTAAAAAACACCCTTTGATAAACTTATAATATCATCAAGTAAACCTTTGTTACAAAATGATTTTCAAGATAAACTTCTGTTCAATCAAAAGTTCCAAAATTACAATACATAAATAATCTAAAATCAAAGATCTATATATAGAGTCCTCATTTTTTTAAATCATGTTTTGATAAAAAAGCTTTCAAAGTTTTATTTTTGATAAAAAAATAGACAATACACAGTCCCTTAAAAATTGTCAAGCTTCATTTTCTTTAATGTTAAACAACATTGATTAGTTATAAGATATAATGAGAGCCACAATACAACATCTAAATAGTGATTCTCAACCTTCCTCATGCTACGGCTCTTTAAGATAAATTCTTTATGTTATACTAACCCTCAACTGAGAGATGTTTGAGATTGTTTTCATTTACTATTATTGTTTCATAGTTATAATTTTGCTCGTTGTTATTATTGTTTTATAGCCATAAGTTTGCTACTGTCATAAATTGTGATATACATGTCTGATATACAAAATAGATTCTCGTTTACTTGATCTAATTTGACACACATACCTATACACAACAATTTAAATACTGATAGAGTTGGTGTTGATTTCAAAATCAAGAGTTATAGTTCCTGAGATTCATAGTTCACAATCAAAAAACGTTCTAAACTCCACCAACAATAAAATTATACCAAACTTGACACACACAACTTCAAGTCCCTTTCATTTCAAAGGGTCAATTATATATAAGACTCAAATTACATTCAACTTATACACTCTTAAATTTTAATCACACCTAAAAACCATACATTTCATCTGATGCTTACAAATAAATCAGCTCCACAAAAACACACTTCTTACAAAACATTGGTTGACAACACATGCTTACATGATAACATATCTTGCTATGTTATTAATCATATTACACATTAAACATTTTTGCTTAGTTCATTTTAAGATTGAGTTTATTAAGTCTACAAATCATAGTTTTGTTTATTTCTTTTGATGTTCTTTTCCCTTTCCTAAGACACCAAACTCCCCCCCTCCATATCAAACACAACACGCTAAAATCAACATTTTAAAAAATCTGATCTCAGCTTTCAATAGATCAAACCATTATATCATAAATCTACCACACTACAAACACACACCCCTATTCGTTACCCACATCTCAGCCAAAGGTTTAAAATACCTACTTCATAAAAACGTTAATAAAACGATACTCAAAACCAGACATTTATTGCTTTATTCACACATTATATCTCTACCTTACACACTAAAATCCATCAAAAAATCTCTCCCCTCTGCGAGAGAGATTCAAGCCGACAGACACGATACCCCAAAAAAAGGAGAGACATACATTCCACAAATAAGAGATAAGCCGTCCCAGCCACGGCTAGGCTCTAAACTCTGATTACACACACACAAACACTTCCCCTATCCTGTTTCCGTTAAGATGACTTTTTGATTCATGATTGTTTATCTTTTGATTTATGCTTGGTTACTCTGTTTTATTCTTTTAATCTGTCTATGTTTTTAAATGTGCTTTCATTCTGCCTCTATACCCGATATACTTAAAAACTACAATTCCCTTCCTTACACACCGATGCCCATTCTATACTGTGCTGGTCAAAGACCATCATAAATCATTGATTGATTAATTAATGACTATCAAAATCCTTGCTCTTCAACAAAACACAGCCCTATAAGGGTCATGCCTTTTCATCCTCATACTACAAAACCTATTATCCATTTCTCATTACACAATTACTAAAGTTTTCCAACGGGTCTACTATTGATCATTATCACACTACCCATAACATTGCTCAAAATACATTCATAAACATTTCTGCTACAACATACCTTATATTACAATGCTAAATTCACAATATTCTGC